TGGGCTGATTTCTGGGTTCTTAATTCTATTCTTTTGATCTCTGTGTCTGTTATTGTATCAGTACCATACTTTCTTGACTACCACGACAATGTAGTAGAACTTGAAATCAAGGAGTGAAATGCCTCCTACCTTTTTTCTGTTTTTAAGGAGTGCTTTGCTTGTTCGGGGCCTCTTTCCATTCCAAATGAAACTGGAGATTGCTTTTTCCGTCTTGTTCAAGAATAGAATTGGTATTTGTATTATGATTGCACTGAACATGGCTATTGCCTTTGGTAGTATTGTCATTTTCACAATATTGAGTCTTCCTATCCATGAGCAAGGGTTATTCTTCCATTTCTCCAGGTCTCTTTTTGTTTCTTGTAATGTTTTATAATTTTCTTTGCATAGATCCTTTGTGTTTCTGGTTAGATATATTCCCAAGTATTTAATCTTATGATTAGCTATTGTGAAGGATACTGATTTTCTTAGCTCCAGCTCTGTATTCTCTGTCACTGTAGAGATTTTTTATTTTTGTATGTTGATCTTCTATCCTGCCACTTTGCTAATGTTGGTCAACTATGACCAGTAGTTTTCTTGCTCAGTCTTTAGGGTTTTCTAAGTATACTGTCATATCATCTGCATAGAGAGATAACTTTACCTCCTCTTTGCTAATTTGGATACCTCTTACTTTCTTCTCTTGTCTTACTGCTATTGCTAAGACTTCAAATACAGTATTGAATAGGAAAGGTGATAGTGGGCATCTTTGCCTTGTTCCTGTTCTTAAAGGGAATGACTTTAATCTCTCTCCAATGAGAAAAATGTTGGCTCTCGGGTTTGCTTATATACATTTACTATGTTGAAGAAATTCCCTTCTTTTCCTATTTTGTTGAGTGTTTTAATCAGGAAAGGGTGTTGGATTTTGTCAAAGGCCTTTTCTGTGTCAATTGATAGGATTGTGTGGTTCTTGTTGTTTCCTTTGTTTATGTTATGAATTAATTGTTTTTCTTATGTTGAACCATCCTTGCATACCTTTATGAATCCCACTTGATCATGGTGAAGTTTGGGTTTGGATTTTTTTTTTTTTAATCATTGGATTCTGTTGGTCAGGATTTTATTCAGGATTTTTACATCTATGTTCATGAGAGATATTGTCTTGTAGTGTTCTATTTTGCTGTTTTCTTTACCTGGCTTTGGTATCAAGGATATGTTTGCTTCATAGAATGAGTCTGGGAGAATGCCATCTTTTTTTATTTTCTGAAATTCTTTATGTAAATTTGATGACAGTTCTTCTCTGAATGTTTGCTGAAATTCACTTTTTAAACCATCTGGTCCAGGGCCTTTTTTGGCTGGAAATTGTTTTCTTTCCTGAAGTTTCTTCTTTAGTAAAATGAGTCTGTTCAGGTATTCAATTTTGGTTTGTGTCAGTTTAGGTAGATTGTGACTTTCCAAGTATTTGTCTCTTTCATTTAGGTTTTCCTATTTGTGTGAGCATAATTTTTCATAATATTCCAATGTTGTTCTTTTTATTTTAGTTGGTTCTGTTGTGACATTGCCCATTTCATCTCTTATTCAGATTATTTGTGTCTCTTCTTTCTTTCCCTTTGTTAGTAATGCTAGTGATTTGTCGATTTTATTGACTTATTCAAAGAGCCATCTCCTAGTTTTGCTGATGGTTTCAATTATTTTTCTGTTTTCTATTTTATTTATTTCTGCTCTAATTTTTATAATTTCAGGCTTTTTAGAGAGTGTCATGTGTTCTTGCTTGTTTTTTGTTGGTTTTTTTTTTTTTGTTTTGTTTTCCCAATTTGTTGGAGATGTTGGGTTATAGAGTCAATGGTCATATTTTCCTGCCTTTTGATGTGTTTGCTTATTGCTATAAGTTGACATCTGATTACTGCTTTCACTGTTTTTCAGAAGTTTTGGTAAGTGGTATTTTCATTGTCATTTGTCTCAAGAAACTCTTAAATTTCATTTTCATTTCTTCTAGTACTCACTCATGTTCAAGCAAGGTGGTGTTCAGCTTCTAAATGAATGGGTTTGGTTTTTTTTCCTCTCCTTTATCCTCTTGTTATTAATTTCTAATTGTGTAGCATTATGGTCTGAGAAGATGCTTGGTAGTATTTCTTTGTTTTTTAATTTATGATTGCCTTGTGACCTAAACCGTAATCAATTGGAGACTGTTCCGTTCAAATTGGAGAAGGTGTACTGTGCTTTTGTCGCTGTATTAGCCTGTAAATATCTATGAGGTTGGGTTGGTTAATTGTGTGGTTTAATTCTTTAGCGTCTTTGTTGAGGTTTTTTTCTGGTATTTCTATCTTTTCTTGAGAGTGGTGTACTGAAGTCTCCAAGTACTATAGTAGTGCTCTCTACTTCCTTTCACAGTTTTATTAATGTTTGTTTTACATATTTGCAGGTTTCATGTGGTATGTAGATATTTATTATTGTTATGTGCTCTTCCTCCCCACAAATAACTTTTTTTTTTAAGAAAAAGAGCACTTTTCCAGTATGCCAGTGGTTACAAGCCCTCAGAGAGATCTCCTTTGTGATAATTTGCTTTTCCAGGAAATAAGTAACACCATCATTTCCAAAGGTTATAAAATACTTCTTAGACAATGAAGTATGAAGAGGACTAGATGTACCCATTTCTTTATTATGAAAACATTTAATTAGAATTCCACATTATTTAAAATGGCTGTAGATATTTTTAGATAGCTTTTAGTAAATGTAGGTTCCAATAATTCTTGTCTTACATGTGTATGTTACAGCTGTTTTTAATATCATTCATCTCTTCAATATTTTGGGTGGAAAAATGTTAGTGATTATGTTAGATGAATTTGAAATATTTCATTGAGGGATAGGGTGGGGAATTTCCTCGTTTAAACATTTTATTACAAAAAAGATTTAATCTTATAGCCATTTTTAATAACTTTAATATTTATTGATTTAACTTGAAAGTCTTTTAAATGGTAAATGACAAAATGGTAGGTTGAAGAGTCACATCTAAATTTTGACCATATCATATGCAACTCATTTGTAGTTAAATGTTGAATCAATACCTTAATAAAAATGAAAGGAAAAGGAAGATACACTGAAATTTTTCATTTCTTCATGGCCAAGTATTACTTGTCATCCTTTAAAAAGAACTTGTGGTTTAAATAAGAAAGATATGTATAACTCACAATTTGAAACTGGCATTGATGAAACTCATTTTGGATGAATTAACACTGTTGTTGTTGTGTACTGTGAAATCGAAACTGACCCATAGCTGACCCTTCAGTAGATTTTTAGAGACAGTTATTCACACCGAAGGAGAATGCCCACCCATCTTCCATGGTGCAGCTGTTCACCTCGAACCCATGGGTCTTTGAGATTGCAGTGCACCTTTTTGGCACTAAGCCACCAGAACTCAAGTTAACACTAGTTTTTCTTTTGTTGTTGTTTTGTTCTGTCAAGGTGCCTGTGACTCATAGGAACCCATTGTACAACAGCACTATACCCTGCTCCGTCCTGTGCCAATCTTATTGTCTCTAACACACCTACCCCCATTAACCCGGTCACTGAACCAATCCATTTCATTGAGGGTATTTCTCTCTTGCACTGTCCCTCCACCCTCCCACACATGACGTTCCTCTCCAAAGACTGATCCCTTCTTGCAACATGTCTAGATTATCAGACAAAGCTTCTTCTTTGCCTGCAAAGAGCAGCCTGGTTTTACCCTCTCTAGGATAAACCTGTTTGTTCTTCTAGCCATCCATGGTGTATTCAGTATTGTTCTCCAGCAGCATGGCTCAAAGACATCCATTCTCCTTCTATCATCCCTAGACATTGTCCAGCTTTCTGACGCATAGCAAGTAAGTAATTGCAAAGCCCATTGCTCTTCGGTACTTTGGAGAGGTCTTTGACAGCAGATTTTCCCAATGCAATTCGTCTTTTGATTTCCTGGCTACTGGTACCATGAGTGTTGATTGTGGAGCCAAGCGAACTGAATCTGTTAACAGTCTCACTTTCTTCATCATCTTTCTTGATGCTGCCAGTCAGCTCAGTGGTGAGAATCTTTGTTTTCTTGATGTTGAGCTTCAAATCATGTTGAAGGCTCAAGTCTTTGACCTTCTGCAACAAGCACTTCAGGTCTTCATCATTTTCAGCAAGTCGGGTTGTGTCATCTGCATAACAGATGTTGAGTGTTCCTCCAGTCCTGATGCCACATTTCTCCTCATAGCCTAGCCTCCCATATACTCAGTTCTTCATATAGATTGAAAATATGGAGATAGGACACATCCCTGGTATACACCCTTCCCGATTTTGAACCATGCAGTGTCTCCTTGCTCTTTTCTGAGGACTGCCCTGTCTCCTGGTCCAAATAAATGTTTAACATAAGCACAATCAAATAAATGTTCCGGGATTCCCATTCTTCTCGGAGTCAGCCACAATTTGTTGTGATCCATACAGTAAAATACCTTTGCATTGTCAATCAAACACAGATAGATATTCTTCTGGTTCTCCCTGCTTTCTGCCAAGATCCATCTTACATTAACTGTAATATTACTTAGTACCACAGCCTCTTCTAAACTCAGCCTGCACTTCAGGCAGTTCTCTGTTGATGTGCTAGAGGAGTTGTTTTTGAACAATTTTCAGCAGAATCCTGTTTTCATGTAATATTAATGATATTATTTTATAATTTCTCCACTCTGTCGATTCACCTTTCTTTGGAATGGGAACAAATATCGATTTCTTCTAGTCAGTTGACCAGGTGGTTGTCCTCCAGACTTCTTGGCACAATTTGGGGAGCACATCCAGGGTATGGTCTTTTTGTTGAAATATGTCAGTTGGTATACTCTTTATCCTGGGGTCTTGTTTTTTGCCAACTCTTTAATTTAGAACTGCTAAAAATATGGCTTCTACTTATTTGTAATATTTTAATCCATTAATAAGTTACTTTTTTAAACATTATTTCTCAGAGTAGAAAGAACAGTTGATCAATGTATATTTTATATTGAATACTTTTTATTCTTTCTAAACAGACACTTCTTGAATATGCAGAGAAATGGAAAACTTCAGATGATCCCTTACCTTTATTGGAGGTATACACGGTGGCTATCCAGAGCTATGTTAAAGCACGACCTCATCTTACCTCTGAATGTGAAAATGTAGCATTGGTTCTGGAACGCTTGGCATTGTGAGTAGACCTTTGAATAAATAAAATGTAAATTTAACTTTTATTTCTCTTTTATTAAAACAACAAAACGTAACAACTGTATCACAACTTTTAAGGTAGTTTTATTAATTAGCTATGAGTTTAAAATATATTTGGTAGGAAGAGTCTGCTTTTGATACTAGTATTACAGGTTTTATGTTGCTTTAAATTTTAATAATTATTTGTATTATTACCAATATTTTGTTTTTTAGAAGCTGTGTTGAACTTTTATTGTGTCTGCGTGTTGAGTTATCAGATAAACAATGGGAACAATTTCAGGCGCTAGTACAGGTGAGAGACTTTATCTAATAGATTTAATATAGGAATAATGTGTCAATTTTCTTTATTCTTAAATTATTTGGTGAAACTTTGAAACCTCTAAATAGTGACAAACATTTATATTCCCCTCTTGTATAACATTCTATTATATAACCTTTTACAAATACAAAATAAATACTTAGTAAATTAATATATCCATTTAGGTAGTTTAAATATTATACTTTTCTTCAAGATCTTATAATTATGGCTTTTTTCCAGAATGGTAAGAAAATACTCTTAGTTTGAATTTAGAAATATTTTAACTAATTGGTAAAAGCTGCAGCATGCTTTATATTTCATCTAATTGTTATGAAAATTTTATTGGAAAGAGTATTTTAAAGGTGAGCGAACTGAAACTCTTATAACAAAATACCTCCCAAATTATGCAGCTAATGTAATAGGGTGTTTGTGTGAGCCAAGATTCCTTACTTAAAGCCCATGTTTTTCCTCTTGTATCTGAAAGGATAGGCTTTGTCTCTTTAATTCTGTTACTTTTGGTACTAGCTCTTGATGGAGTATTTTTAGAAATGTTTAGTTCCGTTTTAAACACAGATTATGTTGATATATTTTAGCTTTAGTAGATTTTTGTTAATTCTTTGGTTACAAGGAATGTTCTTGGTAGGTAATTTCAAAAGGTATTGTTCACTTTTTCCCTTGCTGGAGTTCTAAAAGTGTCTTTTGGCCATATGTTTTTATGTAGAAGGTTACTAAAGAGGTTAGTGTTTAATTTTGGAATCATGTGAAATAAGCTATAAGGCAGAGAAGTAAACTAGCTATTTTAATATTAACCATTAAAATCTCTATTACAGGCCCTTGGAAATTAGAATTAAATCTTTTGTAATACCATAGAATTTTACATTGTTCCTTTTATGTAATAAATGATTAATAGCAGCTTACATATAATACTTGTTTGTTGAAATATAAGTGTCTTGTTTGCCATATTGTAACTAACTTTTTGATCAAGCAATTTCAGCATGTCAGTAGCTGGTGTCTTGGGTGTTTTTATTTTACTTTTTTCCCTCATTTTTGGTAAATATTTCAGTGTTTCATTGTTTAGCATTCATAACCCTGTTTCTCGATTATCCGTCAGAACTAGTTGAATAAATTGTTTACATACAAATATAGTAATTGTTACATTATTTTATTTTTTTACCATAAGATTACAGACAAGAGAGAACTGTATAAAAAGAATATATGATTAGGGATTGCTGACATGACATAAGTCCACAATAAGAGCTGCATATAGTAAAGTGGACTTGGCAGGCAGACGGGCGCTATATAACAGTGAAAGTGGGTTTTTTTTCCAAAGAGAAAAGCAAACTTGGGGGTAGTAGTAGGAAGGAAAATGTACAACAATGAATAAATGGAAATCCAAGTTCTCTATAAACTTTCATTAAAATATCAATTTATTAAAAAAGATAACTTTTTAAGAGTCCTTTTGAAAACCACACCAATAATGGTATTTTTGTAATAGGTGGATGAAAAAGAACCAGCTCCTTAATTCGCTCCAGGGAAACCCTCTGTTTACTGCTGAAAGAAAAATTTTTAAAGCCTTGAGGCTTTTTTGCAGTGAGAATATTTTTTATGGCGTTGAGAAATAGATTATTGTTTGAGCACAACTCTTAACATAACCTTTTCATTTTGCTGTCTTTTCAGAGCTTCCTTGGGTTGGTTAGAACATAATTAACAGCGTTTGTTTCGATTTGCACTTTATTTCCCCATTTTTTAACGTTTTAAACATTTCTTTACCCAATTAGAGGACACGTTTCATAAAGGAAATTATCTAGTTGCAATCTTTTCCTAGGGTTTTGCCCACAACATTTTCAATAAATATGTTCTTGATTGTAGGAAAAAATACCTACTTGTCTTTGGTGACCATGAAGGTTGTTCCAGGTGTATGAATACTTGTAAATAATTAATAAATGATGTCATTGTCAGCTTTACTATGCAATTGCCAAAGATATGTAGTGAGTATGTGAAAAAAAGCCAGTACTGTGCACTATTCTTTCCCAGGAACTATTGGATAAGGAAGGATAAAGGTAAATTTTCTAGAGAGAGAAACAAAATTCAGTTATTTTCTTTTCATAAATCCTTATTAGAATATTTGTAATTTGTCACTTTGGCAGCAGGTTTCAGGGCAAAGTGTTTAACACATAGGCCATACAGTCCAGAAAGTCTTGTAATTCTGAATATTTGATAGGGTTTTTCTTAAAAATAGTTTTGATCTTGATTTATATTGGGAAAAATTTCACACTGACTTATTGTATAAATATATTCATTTAAGCTTTGCTTTCTTAATCTTTGGATTCAACTTTAAAAATCGAACATAAAGATATTTCTTATTCTGTAGTGTGCTATAAAGTTTTTAAGATATCTTACTTTTTCAAAAGTTTAATGCTATATTTAAAACCTGATAGACTTGCTTTTTTGAAAAATTTGTGGTAATTCTTTGGATTTCTTTAAATATTATAGGTAGCTCATGAGAAGTTGATGGAGAATGGCAGCTGTGAATTGAATTTTTTAGCTACTCTAGCTCAAGAGACTGGGGTGTGGAAGAACCCAGTGCTGTGCTCCATTCTTTGCCAGGAACCCCTGGATAAGGATAAAGGTACATTTTCTAGAGAGAGAGAAACAAAAATCATTAGATTAAAAAGTTAAAAAGATATTTTGATACATTCATCTGAAGATAGCATGGAGAAGGACCATTTAAATTTTATCTACATTGCTTGAGGTTCTTCATTCTTAATTATCTTCTTTAGAGGAAGCTTTATTCACAGGATTATAGAATCTTACAGTAACAGAGAAGCTAAAATTCATTCCAATATTTTTTCCACAGAGAAATCCCTTCTACTGTATCTCTGACAGTTGGTAATATACCCTTTATTGGATAAACTTACTCAGCAGATGGAGAAACAGAAGTAGGGTGGTGAAATAATTTTCCTCAAAATAGAGTAAGAAATGAATGGTTGGTCTTGTTTCTCCAACAGCTTGTTGCTCAATTCTTATTTTATTCTGTTGCTATTGTATGAGTTCAGGTGATAAAAGAGTCCAGTTAGATCGGCAGGTAAAATATATGTTTATAAGATGACTTATAGGTGTAAAAGAGTTTAAAAATTTTATTTACCATGAGAAAAGGCACGGTTCTTTTTGAAATAATATTAAGATTGTTTAGTAAAGTGCTCCATTTCACCTTAACTTTTCCCAAGGTATTTAACAACTAGAGAATAGAAAAAAATTTCCAGTACTTATAGGGGGGGAAAGCGCATGTTCCCCCATCATTTATTGATGCTTGCTTGTTTTGGTGTCTGATGGCAAATCAGATATTTTGCTATGTTTGCTATATTTGCTAGGAAATGGTTGTATTTTGGGGGGGTGGGTTTTTTTGTTTGTTTTTTCCTTTTCAAACATTGAGCATGTTTTAATTTTTTTTTTTTTTTCATTGTTGCATATATTCTTCCTCCCTCCCTTCCTCCAGCCCTGGTCCTCCCTGCAATGTACTCCTTGTTCCAGATTGTTGTCATACATATATTTGTTTCAGACAATTCCTCTCCTCTCTAATCTAATGCAGTTTATTATCTATCCACTTTCCCCCATTCTCTTTCCAACTCTTTTACATCTGTTCTGTTTTATAACAGAGGTATTATGAAGTATTTGTCCTTTTCGTGACTTAAATGTCACTCAGCATAATATCCTTCAGGGTTCCTTATGCTGTATAAATGTTTTACGAGTTCATTGTTTTTCAGTGTCATGTAATAAGTAGTCCATTGTGTGACTGTATCATAGTTTTTCTCTCCATTCCTTTGTTGATGGGCACTTGGGTTGCTTCCATCTCTTTCCTATTGTGAATAACACAGCAGTAAACACAGGTGTGCGTGCATCTGTTTGAGTCGTGGGTCTGGTTTCTTTAGGGTAAATGTCCTGTAGTGCAATTGCTGGGTCAACTGGTATTTATATTTCCGTCTTTTAGAAAAAGTGCCAGACTGCTTTCCATAATGGCTGTGTTGTTGTTCTTATTGTTATGTGCCCTCAAGTCACTTGCGACTCATAGCGACCCTATGTACAACAGCCCTAAACTCTGCTCTGTCCTGTGCCAATTGCACTGTCTCTGACACATCCATCCCGATTACTCCAGTCACTGAATCAATCCACCTCATAGAGGGCCTTTCTCTCCTGAGCCGGCCCTCCACCCTCCCAAGCATGATGCCTTCTCCAAGGACCGGTCTCTCCTCACAACGTGTCCAAAGTATGTTAGACGGAGCCTCAGAATCCTTGCCTCCAAGGAGCCACCCGGTTTAACCCTTTCCAGGACAAATCTGTTTGTTTTCCTAGCAGTCCATGGTATTCTCAATACTCTTCTCCAGCACCACAGCTCAAAGGCATCAATTCCCCTTCTATCCTCCTTGGTCATTGTCCAACTCTCTGATGCGTAACAAGTGATTGTGAAGACCATGGCCTGTATCAGATGCACCTTAGTCTCCAGAGAGACACCATTGCTCTTCAGTACTTTGGAGAGGTCCCGAACAGCAGACTTTCCCATGGCAATGCGCCTTTTAATTTCCTGGCTGCTGGTGCCAAGACTGTTGACTGTGGAGCCAAGCAAACTAAAGCTGTGTACAATCTCAATCTCTTCACCATCCATCCTGATGCTGCCAATTGGTCCAATGTTTGTCTTCTTGACATTGAGCCTCAACCGTATTGGAGGCTGCAGTCCTTGATGCTCTGCAGCAGGCGCTTCAGGTCCTCTTCAGTTTCAGCAAGCAGGGTTGTGTCATCTGCGTAATGCAGATTGTTGATAAATCGTCCACCAATCTTGACCCCACATTTCTCCTCATAGAGCCCAGCCTCCTGGATAATCTGTTCTGCATTCCCGGAAATTGCCTTTTCCATCTTGAAGAATGGACTTGGTATCTGTATTGGAATTGCCTTGAACTTGTAGAATCTCTTTGGTAGAATTGTCATTTTCATGATATTGAGTCTATGGTATGGCCTTAACAGTGTGAAAAGACTTGTGGTTGGGAAGAATACTTTACTTTCTTCATACATGGCTACTGTCCCAAATAAACAAAAACCAACTACGGGAGAGCAGCTGAGACAGTGATTTGAGGGTAAGGATGGACATGGAATTGAGAGCAGCAGAGACCATGTGTGAGCTGGAAGGCTGTACAGATGACATGATAATGAGTCTCATTTTCTCCAGGTTTCATTTTGTTTCTTTTAGTAATAGTTTGTGATTTTCTTTGTATATGTCTTTTGCATCTTTAGTTAGATTTATTCCCAAGTATTTTATCTTGTAATTAACTATTGTAATTGGTATTGTTTTTCTTAGTTCCATTTATCCAACTGAATTTTGTAAGTTGATCTTGTATTCTGCTACAGTGCTAAATTGGTGACTATGTCTAGTAGTTTTCTTAGTGAATATTTAAGGGTTTTCTAAATGTACTATCAACTCATCTGCCTGTGGAGATAATTTTACCTCCTCTTTGCCTATTTATATTCCTGTAATTTCCATTTCTTACTGCTCTCACTAAGACTTCCAATACTATATATTGAGTAGGAGAGGTGATAGTGGACATCCTTGCCTAGTTTCTGTCCTCAAGGGGAATGCCTTTAATCTCTCTCCATTGAGAGTGATGTTGGCTCTTGGTTTTTCATATATTTTTTTACGTTGTTGAGGAAGTTCTCTATTTCTATTTTGTTGAGAGTTTTAATCAGGAAGCGTTGCTGGATTTTGTCAGAGGCCTTTTCTGCATCAGTTGATGGGATCATGTGTTTCTTGTTCTTTGTTGATGTGATGAGTTACATTGTTTTTCTTGTCTTGAACCATCCTTGCATATTTATTTTTCTTTTTTCTAAAAGGTAACTATGGGAAGCCCATGACTCAGGAAATCTATTTTTTGGTACTTACTAAAAAGTTTCCTAGCTAGCTTGTAGGCTTTGCTTCAGATTGATTATTGCTATATGACTCTCCATTCTATCATTTACTCCTTGCTTTCATGAGAGTTCTACCAGGGTTATCAGTTCCTTAGTTTACATGAGAAGTGTGTGAATATCTGCAGATTAACTGCAGTGGTATCAAGGACTTTGAGAAATGGAAAAGAGACTGGCATTACTTCAGTGAAGTCAAAAGTCAGACTTTTTTCTGGGTTTTGTTTTTATTTTTTTTAAGGTTTTTATCTTTGGGGGTTTTGTGTTATCTTGGACCTTTTGTCTTTGGCATTTTCTGTCTGTTCCAAAGAAAATATATTCGAACCAATATGCTTTATTTCTGGTATCGAAATTATATTTTCTTCTTTTATAAATATTGGATATAATAATAAAATACTAATTATGCTATCTAGTTTCTAATTGTTTAAAAGATGCTTTTATAGTCATGATTTTTTTTTTTTACCTTCACAGTGAACTAATGAAAAAGGTAGTTTTTATTGTACTCCCTTTACAGATGAGAAAATAGACACTCAAGAAATTTGTCTTTCCCTAACTCATATTGTTAGTGGTGAGAGGGATAGCCAGGAATTAAAATCAAGTCCTAACGTCTCTCCTTTTTATATTACGTACTGTTGCACCTAGCATAAATAGAAGAGTCATTCCTTTTCTCCACTGTCACTTTCTAAATATAAGCTCATTCAGTTTACTCAAGCAGGAAAGTTAAGACTGCTCTTGGCAGAGATTGAAACTTTATTTTATAATTTATTTGAATGCTTAGCATCACATCTCTTAACCAATATCTCTGCTCATCTCTTTACTGCTTTAATTTTTGGTTTTCATTGCCATAGGCATTGAAATATTTCTACAGCCACAAGTTGCTTCTACAATAGTAGATGGATTCTGGGTAGCTAGACTTGGCATGAACTTGGGTGACTTAGTTTAAAGGAATTAAATTCATAACCCAAAGGTTTGAATCCATCAGCTCCTCCATGAGAGAGAGATGGGCTGTCTACACTGTATGATTCACTGCCTTTGAACACCCTCTGGCAGGTCGTCTATGAGTTAGTTCTTGCTTGATGGTCCAGCAGATTTGGCTTAGTCCACTGAGAGCTGTGCTGCTAGCCTAACAGCCATGCCTCTCTAATGGCAGCTCTCTGAGAGAAAGACTGACAATCTTCTAAGCAAGTTATTATTGCCTCCAAAATTTGCTAGAGGGTCACCAGAGTCAGTGACAGCAATAACTGGCTGAGCCTAGGTACCACAGTCACCTTTTTTTGGCATCTCTAGATAATTTGTTGTTGTTGTTGTTGTTATGTGCCGTTGAGTCGTTTGCGACTTATAGCGACCCTATGTACAACAGCCCTAAACTGTGCTCTATCCCATGCCAATCTCATTGCCTCTGACACACCCATCCCGATTACCCCAGTCACTGAATAACTCCACCTCATAGAGGGTCTTCCCCTCCTGC